CATTGACTGTAGTGCATAGTCATTAAATTAACTTTTAAAAAACATTTTGTATTGATTTGCTTACAAAGTTCATATAATTTGTGTTTCATAGTATTCTTCATTCACATTGTGTTTTATACAATAATTCCTGCTAATTATGTTTTATAAAATTAATCACCGTTGGACTAGGCCCAATATTAGCTTGTCTTTTCAGGTCTTCGCTGGATCTTCCTCATTTCATTTATCCCCTCCCTCCAGCCACCAAATTGTACAACCCTTTGATTTTGCCCTTGCCCACCCTCACCACTCACTCCGCCTCTTCCCCCTTTGAATCCCCATATGTGTTTTATTAGTTATCCTTCTATTTTTAACAATAATGGTCTTATGTTGTATTTGTCCTTATGAGAGTGGGTTTGTTCTGTCAGCATAATGCTCTCCAAACTCTTCCAAGTTATGTAGTGTTTTTCAGAATCATTGCTCCTTAGTGCTGCATAGCATTCCATTGTGTGAATGTACCACAGTTTCTCAATCCATTCATAATAAATGTTGGAGAGGATGTGGAGAGGTGGGAACTCATAAACTGTTCATGGGATTGTAAAATGGTCCAATCATTCTGCAAGGCAGTGTGATGTTGCCTCAAAAAGCTGAATATAGAAACTGTATGACCCAGCTATTCTACTACTAGGAATATACCCCAAGGAAATTAAAAATGAGACACAAACAGATTTATACACTAATGTTCGTAGTGGTGTTATTCACTATCACAAGAACATTGGAACAGCCCAAATAGCCAACTACAACCAAATGGATTGAGAAATTGTGTTAAATTAACTTTTATATGTTGACCTTGTATCTTGCAACCTTGCTGACCTCATTTATGATTGGTTACAATAATTTTTTAAGTTGATTCCTTAGGACTTTCTATATACAAGATCATGCCTTTGAAAATAGTATTGGTTATACTTCTTCCTTCCCAATCTGGATACCTTTTATATCATTGTCTTGTTTAATTACTCTGGCTAGAAGTTTCCAGTGCGAAGTTGAATAAAATGACGAAAACATCTCATTGTCTTGTTCTTGACCTTACGGGACAGTGTTCAGTTTTAGCCTTTTTCATTTAATCTGATGCTGTAGGTTTTCATATGTTGTTGTTGTTATGTGCCATCGAGTCGCCTGCGACTCATAGCGACCCTATGTACAACAGCCCTAAACTCTGCTCTGTCCTGTGCCAATTGCACTGTCTCTGACACTC